TAATCCACTATAGGCCTGAAGCGCCGTCACAAATTCACAGTCTGGGCTGAGTTCTGGCTCTGGCTGATGAGCCCCTCTAGCCCAGAAGCAGGAGAGCAGAGAGCTCTTTGTATAGAATTGAGAAAACAGCTGCCCTTTTCTCTGGCGCTGGCCACTGTGCCTGGCTGCATCCTTCCTCATCCACCAAGGAGACCTCTCTCTCCAGCCTCAGTGTGTCTGTGACCAAGCTGGCCAGACCTCTACCCTCAGCATCCGTGATCTCGAAGGACCTACTTTTCCTCCGTCCAGTGGAGCCTCTTGTCCTAATAGAGCTTCCTGAGTGTGGCTGAGAGAGCAATGCATCATTAAGTAGATTTGTCCTAATACTTCAACTACTTCCTAGTTACCAATTCCTCTCCTGCCCCAAATTCAGTTCTACCAGTTTTTTCCTAGGGTCAGGTTTGGCTTTTTACATCATCCTTTTCTCCTCTTCTGAAGCTACATAGCATCTAAATTGCACCTTTCTCATCACGGTCCCAGTGGAGCTTTGGCGGGGGTTCTGTATCAGGAGAGGGGAGGGAGGGGCGGCATGTACGTGAGACTGCCTGAGCTTACGGAAGCACACACCGTCACTGGGAGCAACCTGGGCTTTGGCCTGTGGAGAGCACATCTGGCAGCCTGGTTGGTTGCAAGTCCTTCTGTGACGGTGGTTTGGGACATTGCTGTGTGGCAGATTTCCAGGCACCACCCAGTGCTACTGAACAAGAACCTCTGTGTTATCAGTATCTTTATCACTTCTTTGGAGGGACTTTTCACATCTCCAACTGCTTAGGAACACCTCTATTTAGAGGTCCCATTGGCACTTCAAAGCAAAGCTTTACAGGGAAACTTGCTCAGTTGAGAGACAGGTTACTACTAAAGGGAAGAAAGCAGAGAGAGGAAAGCCAAGACCATGCATGAACCTTAAGGAATGTCTGTGGTCAGGAGGGGATGGAAAAGAACCAAACAGAGACAGAAAGGGGGCAGGTTAACAGGTTGCCCCAGCTGTCAAAGGAAGACTTGTATTATTTACATATATAATATCTAATTCATGTTTATATCTTGAAGCTGTTCATTGATTTTTGCCTTTGCCTAGATGGGGAAGCTTTAATATCACAGAACTATCCATTTTCTTAGTATTTTTAAAATTGTTCTTTAAAGTTAAAATTATAGTCTTTAGTTTCAAATGAGATTTTCATATATTTTTGATAAACATAAAGATCTAGTGTCTAATGTGTTTTGGTGTTTTTGTTTTGTTTTTTATCCTGTACCATTTTAGGCATAACAGATTGCTTAAAGAGAAAGAGGATTCTTTGATTGGCTTGTCAACAAAAGTTTCCAGGTAGGTTTGGACAGAAATGTCAAAAGCTTCCAAAAGGTCATTATTCTTCAAAATATCCTTTTAAATTGGCTTTCTTTTATTTTTAAGATTTATTTATTTGAGAGGGAGAGAGTGCATGGGGAGAGGGGCTGAGAGAGAGGGAGAGAAGACGACTCCCTGCTGAGAGCAGAGCCGATGCAATGCGGGGCTCCATCCCACGACCCAAGATCATGACCTGAGCCAAAATCAAGAGTCAAATGCTTAACTGCCTGAGCCATCCAGGTGCCCCTAACTTGGCTTTCATATATCCCTTTTGGCTCAAAATGGAGTAAACCCTGGCTATTTTGCCACTATCCACTTGGTACAGACATTTAAATAACCCAGCACAAGCTGGCAAGGGGTGGGAGCTGAAGATTTTCATTTTTCTCATGTCTGTTAGGCTTAACCATACATAAAGTCCTTTCATTAATATCAAAACAGTAAATGACCTGAGTTGTTCCCACTGCCCATTGCCATACCTTCTCCACTCAGCATCAGAATGATCTTTCCACAGGGTCACTCCTCTGCTTAAATCCCCTCAGTGGTTTCTTTTCATTGCACTGTATATAATACCCAACTCCCAAAGGCCTAGGAGACCCTGCATGGTTTGGTCCTCGCCTGTCTCACTCACACTTGCTAGGCCTAAAGTCATACTGCGATTTCTGAGAACTCACCAACTTTGTTCTTTGCTTATAAAGCTCTTCCTGGCTTTTGGCCCAGTTACTTTTACTTGTCTTCCTTTGTGTATCATCTTGGAAGTCACTTTTATGACTGCTCTTTCCAAATCAGGCCCCCTTCCTATCAGTCTCTGCTACAATACCCTTTTACTTATTTTATATCTGTTATCACAATCTGTAATTATTCTAGTTAGCTCTTTACTTTTTTTTTTTTAACTATGCATCTCATTAGAATGTAAGCTTCTTGAGGACAGGGATGTTTCAGATTCACTATTATATCCCCAGGGTACATAGTACCTGGCATACAGTAAATGCTCAACAAATAATTGCTGACTGACTAAATTACCCATAGCAAGTCATTCATTCCCTCAACAAATATTTATTGAGTGGATACATGCTAGACTTTGAGGATACAATAGAGGACAAGGCAGACAAAACTTGAAAGTGGCCTAGGACAAAGAAAAAGGACAATGGGTTATGTCTAGGAGTAATCCTATGATAGTATGATAACTTACTGGTACATAAGCACATTTTTATTTGTTATGTAGCAGATAGTAAACTTAGTGTCACCAAATGACGAGGTAATACCATGCCTGCTTTTGGATAGACTAAAGTGTAAAGAGCAAAGAAGGAAACAGGGCAAGTATATGAAAGAAAAAAAAGGGGAGAAGAAGAGAAGGTAGTAGTTCAGGGATGTCTCTATTCTCTGAAAACTTAAAGAAATTATCTTTCTCATTCAACAGTTACAACAGAAGGTTAAGATTAGAACCATACTTAATGTCTTTAAAATGTGGCAAAACATATACATCCAGGTGAGCATGTTTTTCAAAGCAATCCTCCAAGGAAGTTCTATATTTATTCTAATGATGCCATCAATCCTCAAAACACTCATAAGACTGCCTTCTTCAAATTGCAGTGAGGGATAATCTACTGAGCATAGAAAAAAAATACAATTTATTTTTTATTCCACATGGTATTTCCCAGATTGACTTTCTACCATGTTCACTGGACTTGCTTTCACTGAACCTACTGAGATGGTTTTTAAAATCAAATTAATTCCTAAAGGGCAAAGATTCATCATACAGAGACTGTTCTAAAACATATGCACTTAAGTCAATCCTCAGAAAAGAGTTCCAGAAATGTCTGAGCAAAGACAGGATCTTTTCAATGACCACTGTAAAGAAGATGGCATTCATTCTGATAAACAAGTAAACCTAATTAATCTGACGCCATTAGAAGTGGGGTATTCTAGGTAATACAGGAATATAAGAAAATTACTCAGATAACCAAAGTTATAAGCAGAAGATTTTTAAAAATTTCTTTCTTTCTTGGTGTCCTCGTACATATGATTCTGTACATTTTAATGTAGAGTATAAAGCTAATTTTTATTTTTCTCACTCAGGGTCATCATGCTGGCCATCAGTTATTAATCCGTGTTATAAATATAGGAACACTCAAAGTTATTGATGTGTGTTAGGCTGTCTCTATTGCATATTGGGTCAAATTGCAATGCTTTTCAAGTTTTTGTTTGGATTTATAGTTTTTTTTCTTCTTATGCATGACCAATCTTTTAGCTGCCATTCCTTCTTGTTATTAGTAAGCTTGGCCCTTGCAAGTTTCATGCTTATGAAATTGCTGCTTCTAATAGGCTATGGGCTGAGTGACTATGTAATTGTGAAATGGCAGAGGTGGTGGGGTGGAATGAAGAGTCATGTAACTATAAAGTATACCATCTTTGCAAGAGGCAGGTTGTTGGTATGGCTGAGTCAGGAAATCATGGGTGGCAATCAGCATTGCAGTTGTTCATCTTATCCCAGGATGGACCAGAGATAAGACTTGTTCCCCTATGAACTGGACAGAACTCCTTCTAGCCTGGAGTAGAGACAGATAAAACCCAGGGCAAAGAGTTGATGAGAAAGTTCTAAGACAATTAACTTAAATCCAAGCTGCTTGCTACCCACTTTTCCTCTGGGAGCAAATAGCTGCCTTTGTAAAGAACTAAAAAAAGTTTACAAATCTTCTAAGTTAGAAACTGGTCTAATATTCATAAAATGAAATTAACAAAATAAAAAATAAACTAAAAAAATTCTGGGAAGAATGAAAAACAAATAGCTAATTTTGCATTCTGTGCAGAGAGAGTAATATAAGACAAAAATTCTTGCCTTATGGAACTTGTGTTCTTCCAGAATATAATAGTTATATTGATAAATGTAAATGGGATAATATCTCCCATTAAAGACTCCCAGATTTGATAAAAACTAATAAAATAAAAGCCCCAAATGTGTGTTATATATCAGATATGCCTTTAAAACTAAAGAACTCAAAAAGAATGAGTAAACACATACCAGGCAAATGAAAACAAAAAGAAAGAAAGTGGGGTTGAGAAATTAAGTACAAGTAAGGTTAATTTAAAGACAAATTAACTGAGCGACAATATCTAGGAAGGCTAAATGAACATGCTTTTTAGTTTCCCTTTACTACCTGAATGCAAGAGGTATCTTTGTGGAGAGTCCTCAGTAAGAGGTGTTGATAAGTAAACAGAGAAGAAACGTAGGAGGTAATAAAAGGAAAAAGTGATACAAAAAGATGTTTTTCTGTTGGAAAATGATAGAATCCACCAATTATTGGCCCAGGTGAAATTCAGTAGTATAAGATCACACATGGTCTGTTTGATACTTTTCAATAAAAATCTAACAGCAAATGCAATGTGTATTCCATCTCCACTTTCACTAACTATGTGACTTTAAGGATGTCATTTAACCAATTTGATTTCAGTTTAATCATTGTCAAATGAGGTGGTGGGATGTGATGACCTTTCCTGTGAAATATTTCTTTAATGCCGTGATTTCACTGTCATTAATATATGTAAGACCTTGGTATTTCAAATATATATGGAATATTGACTTAAATGAAATATTTTTGGAAGAAATTATTGGGGACTGCACCTTTCATTTTTCAGTGTTACAACCTCTTCCTTTGTCTGAGTCAGAAGAGTTTTGGTTATCTGTAGTTCATTTTCTGCAAGGTTAATTCTTCTTTTTATGTCTTCTTCCTGCCTTTCTTTTGCAGTCAGTTCTTCCTGTAAAGTTTTATGTATTTGTTGACAAGCCATTAAAGAATCCTCTTTCTCTTTAAGCAATCTGGTATGCCTAAAATGGTACAGGATAAAAAAAAAAAAACCACCAATACACATTAGACACTAGATCTTTATGTTTATCAAAGATATATGAAAATCTCACTTGACGCTAAAGACTATAATTTTAACTTTAAAGAACAATTTTTAAAATACTAAGAAAATGGATAGTTCTGTGATATTAAAACTGCCCCATCTAGGCAGAGGCAAAATCAGTGAACAACTTCACGATATTATAAACATGAATTAGGTATTATATATATAAATAATACAATAAGAAAAGCTAAGTACATAACAAATAAAATGTTACTTAGGGTATGGTTTCAAATTCAATGACTAAAAATATTAATTTAAAAATTTGCAATGTATACCGTGACTCAGAAATAATGGATTCAAACTTCAGTTTTCTAAGTTCTCTTTGACAGTCATCAGCTTCATTAGATTTATTCCTAGAATAATATAAAAGAGGTTAAAATATTTTATTTCAAAATTGTTCAAGTATAAATGTTTTCCCTTTTTAAAAACATGTTTTTCCTTTATTACTTTTCTTACCTTTATATTCTATTTGTGATTATATATGCATACTTCTTTGAAATGAGAAATATGAAGTCAAGGAGTTTTTTTCTGCCAAAAAATAACCTAATCTGTTAGTCCAACAGTGTGTTTTTCTATATCATTATTTTATTCATCCATAGGAGAAATTTCTTAGCATCTTTATATTATTATTTCTTTAAAGAAATAAATATTCAGGTCACTTCTATAATGGCTAAGTAGGCCCCTATCAGACTGATCTGCATATAAATAAAAAGTCTAAACTTCGCAGAACATTAAAAAAAGAAAAACCCCTATTTGAAGGCATTGGAAAGTGAACAAAAACAAGAAGATTTCTGGAAGGAAGCTGACACTTGGAATGAGGTGACAGCATGAAGGTCAGGCTTTTTGTGTTTTTTGTTTGTTTTTGTTGTTGTTGTTTTTAATGATTTCAAACCTGAGGCTCCAGTCTGCACCATGAAGGGGAACTAACATTCTGAAAGAAAACATAGTCTGGCCTAAAGAACTAGAGCACAGTTTGGGTCAACCATAGTGCTGAAAAGTGAAGAGTGACTCAAAATAGGAGAGTCAAAAAGGAGTCCCAATACCTCAGATAGACCCTACACACACATCTGACTGAGCCCTGAACTCTACATGCACAGGGCAGACTCCAAGCAGGCTAAAGATAAAAGAATTAGAGATCTGAGCTGTTGCCCCAGAGACAGAGTTTACAGTCTGAGGCCAACCAAATTAACGATCTGCTTAAAGCAGCACCACCCTCACCCCCACCAACAATAGTATTTGGAGAAATATAACAGAATCCAGAATTTCCATAATACAACATTTACAATGCCCAGAATATAATAAAAATTACTCAACACAAGCAAGAACAGAAAAGCATGACCTATTCTCAAGAGAAATGACAGTTAATAGGGACTGCCTCTGAGATGACCCAGATACTGAAATGTGCAGACAAGGATTTTTCAAAGAGCAGTTATAATTCTGCTCAAAGACATTAAAAAAAAAAAATCCACTCTAATTAGTGAAAAGATGAAAAATCTCAGCAGAAAAATAAACCATTAAAATGAACCAAATGGAAATTCCAAAACTGAAATAAACATATGTCTTGATTTTATATAATTGGGTTTTGTACCAACACTCAAAAAGTTAATATATTAAGAAAGAGTAATATTCCAGTTTAAGTTTGTATAGGCTTCTTATTAATAAGTCATTATCTGAAAGTACCTTAAAATAGCTTAAAAACTGTACAATGAATTATATGTTAGATTGTCAATGAGTTTGCCCTACTTGTAGAATGACTTTAATTTTTTATAAATAATAATTTATTTGCATCATGAACATAAACATTCATTTATTTTTAAAACCATTTTTTATTGTAAAATATGATAAAATTGTAAGCTATAGGAAAATTACATAAAACAATTATATAATGAATTATAAGGAGAAAACTCTTATAACTACCATCTAGGTAAAAACATAAAACCTGACCAACTACCCTAGAAGCTTCATGTCCCTGGTCCCAGTCACAGCCAACTCCCTCCTCCCTAAAATAACCATTTTCATGAATTTTATTGTTATTACTTTGATTTTCTTTAGCATTTTATTACCCAAGTTTTATCTTTGAACACAATATTTTAGTTTAACTTTTTCTTTTGCAAAAAATGTCTTTTTAAAACATGTTATTTTATTATCTACTTTTTGGAAAATAGATTAAGGTATCATGTTGACATACAATGAAGTACATATATACTTTGATATGTCTGCCATATATATAAGCCCATGAAACCATCAACAGAATCAAGCAGCACATGAGCACGATACTCAGAGCCTATATCTTGGTCTCTAATGCCATTCTTTTCAAAGGAACTAAGAGTACTCAGAGAAATGGCTGATTCCAAGACTAGGCAGAGTAAGTATATCTGAGATACCTTGTTATGTCAGAAGGTGAGGAAGTGCTTATAAAAGATGAGGAAACCATGTTCCAATGTCATGGGAGGCAGCTTGAAGGGGCTCTTACTGGCTAAGCTCAGATAAGCTTACATATCAAAACAATTCAGTACAGTAATCAATTATAAACCATTGAAAAAATAAGAGTTTATCAGTCTATACCAATAATAAATAAATAAATAAATAATGAGAAGAAGTGAGGCTCTTGCTTAAAGTAGGATGCTGAGGGCTAATAAATGGGGAGGGAGGGCTGGAGTCAGAAAAATCTTCATTTAGCAACCACTGTAGCAAAGTTTAGATAAGGTAAAATCATTAATGGATGCTGTATCGAGGGATAAATTTTGATGAGGAGGAGAGCATTTAAAGTGCCTCTTATAGACTGCTTACTAGTTGAAAAGGAACAACAACAACAAAATAAAACCCAGGAATAAGGGAGTGAAAAAAATTGAGCAGTACCTTTACCAGGTGATCAAAAGTAATATCACCAAATAAAGGCAGGCAGATGGTCATACCCTGAGAAGGACACATCCTCACTTATATGGTTTTCTGGCTAAGAGTACATGCCCTTAATCCAATCAAAAGGAAACATTAGACCAACATAAAATGAAAATTTTTATTTAAAAAAGTTTGAGGGGTTTTCAAAAAATGCCAATGTCATATAAAAAGATAAACTGGAAATATTCCAGAATTAGGAGGCTAAAAAGACATGCCAAACAAGCTGACTCTACTAGTCCTATACTAGAGGAGAAAATGCTATAAAGGCCAACTAACAAAATTAGAATATGGATGGTAAATTAAAGTACTGTATGTAAATTTATGACACAGATTACTGTGTTTATGTAAAGTATCACCATCCTGAGGAAAGGCAGGCTAAAGTATTTAGCGGTAAAGCGTCAGGTTGTATGTAACTTATCCTCAAATGATTCAGGAAAGAAAAGTGTGTGTGTGTGTGTGTGTGTGTGTGTGTGTGTGTGTGTGTAGAGGGAGAGAGAGAGAGAGAGAGGAGGGGGCCAGGGAAAGGATGAGAGAGACAGCAAATGGGTTAAAATGTTAATCTGGGTAAAAGCTCTTTCGGTGCTCTCTGTACTATCATTATGTTTACAACTTTTTGTAAGTTATTTCTGAATAAATCATTAGAAAGGAAGCAATAAGGAAAAGACTGACATACCATTAGAAAAGTGGGCAAAGATTATGCTCAGGTGAGTCACAAAAGAAAGAATTCAGAGTCAAATATGCAGGAGTATAATGTTTCATCAATCAAACTAGTACTTTTTTTTAGTTATTACACCCACTATTAGCTAGGAAGTGGAGAAATGGGTATGTACAAATACTGCTGAGATTATAAATCAGTATAATCTTATTGGAAGGCAATGAGTCATTATGTATTAAAAGCATTAAAATTATTTAAGTTTGATTCCAGCAAAAATTATCCAAAGGAAATACTTGTGTGTGAGTAGATTTATCTATATGAATTTCAAAGTACCTTACTTATAAAAGTGAAAAATTTAGAAATTCTAAAAAAACAAAAGCTTAGTAAATTAGTTATGATTCATCTACACATTGAAATACTATATAGCCATTTAATAGTTATCTATAAATGTATCATGTAATGACATGGAAAATATTTTTTTTGGAACATGTCATATTTATCACTAACTGAAAATGATACATTATATCACTAAGTGAAAACATGTTAAAATACACATTACTTATAAAAAGAAGACTTTAAGAAAAAGTTCTTAGAAAAAAGACTGACTACAAGGAGGGTGCTTGGATGGCTTAGTTGGTTAAGCAACTGCCTTCGGCTCGGGTCATGATCCTGGAGTCCCGAGATCGAGTCCTGCATCGGGCTCCCTGCTCAGTGGGGAGTCTGCTTCGCCCTCTGACCGTCTCCCCTCTCATGCTCTTTCTCACTCTCTTTCTCTCAAATAAATGAATAAAATCTTAAAAAAAAAAAAAGAAAAAGGACTGCAAGGATTTATCAAAATACAACTATGATGTTCTATTTTGCATATTCCTGTATTTTCCAAGTTTTGTATATTTGTTTTGAAATCAAACAAAAATGTTACTCTAAAAAATGCTTTGAGGGGTGCCTGAATGGCTTAGTCAGTTAAGCGTTGGACTCTTGAGTTCAGCTTGGGTCATAATCTCAGGGTCATGAGACTGAGCCCTGTACTGGGCTCCACATTCAGTGTGCTTAAGATTCTTTCTCCCTCGGGGCTCCTGGGTGGCTCAGTTGGTTAAGCGACTGCCTTCGGCTCAGGTCATGATCCTGGAGTCCTGGGATCGAGTCCCGCATCGGGCTCCCTGCTCAGCAGGGAGTCTGCTTCTCCCTCTCCCGCTCCCCCCTCTTGTGCTCTTTCTCTCTCTCACTCTCTCTCTCAAATAAGTAAATAAAATCTTTAAAAAAAAAAAAAAGATTCTTTTTCCCTCTCCCTCACCCCCACCCTGCTTGCACACTTCTTTCTCTCTCTAAAAAAAAATATGCTTTGAGCACAAGGTGATGTATGGAATTGTTGAATCACTGTATCATACATGTGAAACTAATATAAACTAACTGGAATTAAAATAAAAACTTTTAAAAATGCTTTGAGGTACAGCATCCTCACCATGACATTCACTCTATGTTCAGACTCATATATAACTTTTCCAATCTAGAGGCAGGGACAGTAGAACTTCTTTTAGTGGTTATTTTGCTAACTATATGGACAATTAATCTAGAGCACCTACCGTCCCAAGGATTCCCCCTCATCATGGTCAGCTCCCACGCCCATGCCAGTTAAACCACTCTTTCTATGGTTTACCCTCATGACATAATTGCTATCTTCACCTTTATTAGGATGGGGAGAGGGGAATTGGAGGGAATAGAAAGAAAGTCTACATCTTTTTCAACACATTCCTTCCTTACTCTCAGCAAATAGTGTCAATCTTTTCTCTTCAACTGCTTGGAATAAGCCTTTAGAAAGGCCCTTGCTAAACAAACATAAAGGAAATAAGGTGAAATAATTGGATATTTTTCTTAATTTGAAAGGCATGTTTCAGGGTGCCTGAGTGGCTCATTCCATTAAGCATCTGCTTCAGCTCAAGTCATGATCCCAGAGTCCTGGGATTGAGCCCTGCATCAGGCTCCCTGCTCAGTGGGGAGTCTGCTTCTCCCTTTGCACCTTCCTCTGCTTGTGCTCTCTCTGACTCTCTCTCTAATAAATAAATAAATAAATAAATACATACATACATACATAATAAAATCTTTAAAAAAAGGCAAGTTTCCATACCATTCCACTGCTTCATATGAAATAACCATTTTCAAACTGTCTCCTTGATACTTCCACCTTGCTGTCCAAAAGGCATTCTAAATCTAATACATCAAAAGCATAGTTTTTTATTTCCCTCACCCCCTCTCTTCTACAATTTTCCCACTTCAATTAATGACACCAATGCCATAATGACAAGGTAGCCTTTATTTCCTTCTTATAGTTGAAAAAACTGAGACTAGGGAGATTAGTACCATGCCTAAGGTGACATAACTACTAAACAGTGGTGCTGGAAGCCGTCTGGATCTAGAGTCAAGGCTCATAGTCACCTGCTCTAGTGCCTCTCGACTGTCTACCCTGATGCTGAAAATCCCCAAATCCTATCCTTTATTCTTTCCTTTCCAGTCTTCTTGCTCCCCAGTCACATCCACTCTATCAGTAAATCCTGTCAGATTGAACTGACACATATTTCTCTCCATCTCCACACTACATACAGCCTTACACTCAACCAGTCACTTCTGACTTGCATGAACTCACACCCTCCCACCGGTTTCCCTGATTGCTCTTGTACTCCCACTCTAGTCCATTCTCCAGGTAGCTGCCTTGCTGACCCTTTAAAACAAATTAGATCGTATGGTGATTAACATAACATAATAAAAAAATAAATAAAACAAATCAGAGCAGTTCACTCTCTTGTCAAACATCCTCTATTAGTTTCCCATTGCCCTCCACATAAATCCAGAATCTTCATTAGGTTCTGAACACACTGGTGTGTTAATTTCTTATTGTTGCTGTAAGAAATTACCAAGACCTTAGTGGTTTAAAACAACACAAACTTACTATCTTACAGTTCTAAGGTAAGAAGTCCTAAAATCAAGATATCACAAGGGCTGTGTTCCTTCTGGTGGCTCCAGGGGAAAATCTGTTTCCTTGCCTTTTCTAGCTTCTAGAGACTACCGGCATTCCTTGGCTTGTGCCCCCTTCTTCTATCTTCAAATCACAACATTCCAAACATTGCTTCCACCTTCACAACTACTTTTGTGACTCTGACCCTCTTGTTTTCCTCTTATAAGTATCTCTGCAATTACATCAGGCCTGCCTGAATAATCCAGGATAATCTCCCTTTCTCAAAATCCTTAATCACATATGCAAAGTTCCTCTTGTCATATAGAGTAATATACTCACAGACTCCAGGAATTAGGACATGAAAATCTTTGGGTACTACTATTCTGTCCACCACAAATAGCCGTCCTCATGTCTTGAACTTGGTCATCAAGTTCAACTGGCCTTGCTCATGTCCTAACTTTTCAAAGCATCATGAATGCTCTACCACATTAGCAAGCATTACTGGTTACCTTCTAGACATGCACTGCAGCTTTCTTCCTGGCCATCAGAGCTCCATTATCATAATCCTGCTTGGTCTAAACTAATTGTGGTAGTCTTGTTCCCCTTGCCAGTGATTCATTTAGGAGAGGGTATGTAAAGGGTTGCAGCCAAAGAGATGTAAAGAGAGGGCTGTTTGGTGGCTTCTGGGACATTTTTTCCTCATTTCTAAGGAGACACCAGAAAAACAGGCCCTTCCTGTCTCTGGGTGGTTCCATTTGGATGTGGTACCATCTCGTAATCACAAGGGACTTAGTAGTTCTTTCATAATTCAGCGTTCTAAAAATGGATACTCTGCCCATTTTCTAATTTTAAGAAGTTCTTATATAGGGCAGGAAGCAACAGTTTTATAAACTGAAACAAACGCATTTCCTCCAGCTAATTTGTTTGACGGACTTTAGTGAGGTGGTACTTCTCACTCCAACTCCAATCTATTCTGACTCTTGTCATTTCTCAGTATTCACATTATAAATTATGTTAAAAATATAATTAATAATGGGGAGGCTGGGTGGCTCAGTTGCTTGAGCGTCTGCCTTCGGCTTGGGTCATGATCCCAGGGTCCTAGGATCGAGCCTCACATGGGGCTCCCTACTTAGCAGGGAGCCTGCTTCTCCCTCTCCCTCTGCCTGCCGCTCCCCCTGCTTGTGCACGCTCTCTATCTCTTTCTCTATGTCAAATACATAAATAAAATCTTTAAAATATATATATATTTAATAAAAAATACCACAAAGCATGTTATTAAATGGGAATGTTCTTTGTATATATAGAAAATTCTGTGCCAATTTGTCAAGTGAAAAATCAATTCATGTCACAACCAATGAGCTTTATTCTTTTTCCTCAGAATGCTTATTTCTGTGGTTAGCCTCTCTCCTAACTTGCCAGGACTCCACTCCATATGCTAAGTCCTGGTGGGTCCACAAATTCCCTTTTAGTTTAGTCAGTACCAGCCCTACTCCTCTATTCCTGGAATGTGCCTTTGTCACTTATTGAGATCTAAGAAGCCAAAGTCACAGAGTAGCCATGGCCTGATTAGATTGCCCTCCACATGAGACATCCATATGGCCAAAGCCCTCCCTAATGTTACTAGAGGGTGGGGAACAATGGGTTTTTTGGGAGGGGGGGTAATCACCATTTTGCTTCTCTCTTTCATGCTTGTTTTCATCCAGAAAGTTACTTCCTGGGCCCAGTGAGTCATCCAAGGACCCCCTATCCATTCATTCCTTCAACCTTGGCCATTATACACAGACGGTTGAATTATTGTATTTATTGTACTATTAACCACAGTTTTGCAAAGCTTGAATATTTGCTTTCTTTTGTTTTTAAAAGACAAATTATTTTGCTACAAATAATTCAAGTATAAATTAATTTGGTAGGGCATTTTTGGAATTTGTTCTTCCTTGCACTGTTAAGAATTTTATTAAACACATTGTTCTTAGGAGTAGTCCATAGTCAACACAACATTTGGTTGCTAAGCATTCTAAATATTTATATTTCTTGTGAGGTTCATTCTTCCAAAATATAGGAACTGAAAACCAGAGCTACCAGATTACATACCACAAAATAAAAAAAAATTATTTTTCAAAGATTATATAAATTCTATTTTAGTATTATAATTATAGATGTATGATATATATACCATAAAGTAATTTTTGAAACTTCTGAAGTAAATTCATTTCTAAAAGCAATAGTGCTCTGAAGACTTTACAAGGGCATTTTCTTGTCATTTGTTTTCCAATATTTTCTTTCTTACTTGTATAAAGCATAAGTACTCCAACATTTCAAAGATACTCAAAGATATTTTTTCAAAGATACTCTCTTTTTGAACTTAAAATTGGTAATTTTAAGAAACAACTTCAAAGTTGTTTCTTCTGGATGGATAATAAAGAGACACGTTAAGAGAAAAAAATCAGAATATTTCACATTGAGTTATACTTGAACAACCAGGGAAAGCTTTAATACATGAATAGGTTAAGTTTCTTATTGAGTGAAAGAAACATTTCATGTATTTAAAAATATTTACGTGTCCTTCAATATACAAGACAGGCCAGAAAAGTGCCTGAGAAAAGCAGACCACACTCACACAACGAAATCACTGCTAAAAGAGTCACAGAGAACAGATGGTAAGGGTGGGAGAGGTCTTTCTAAAATCTACAGGTTGTTCAATGTTTACCATCTTACATGAGCTTTGCTTTATAGTTGTCAATCTTGGTCATTGCCTTCTGAAGATTTAGCCCAAGTGCCTCTACTTGACATTGTAAATCTGAAATGACACAGTGTATTCATCTGATTAGTACATTCAAAATGTCCAGATAGTTTCAGAGTGTAAAACATATTCTTTTAGAACTGCCACTCAGTTCCTGCAGCATACTATAACTGTTTACTCCACTTTGCCTGGATATGCAGCTCATCTCTTCCGAAACCCCACAGAATGAATGGTTTTTGACAGATCCAATTTATTGGCCTCTTTCTGCCACCAATATCTTGATAATTTTCAAACAGCTAATAGGCTAAATTTTACTAATGTTTTTAAAGGAAATTTATGTCACTGATACACATATGAATTTCTGATCATGTGGCTCACCTCTGAAACACCTGACTGCCTGAGCTCACTCTTATGGCCTAGAACTGAGAAGTATCACTGAGACCTCCTGGTAGAACTGAAATAGACAAACCATGTGCAATGCTCCCGGTAAAGAATTTGTTAACTCTGGGTAGCATCTAATAGGCATTTTAATAACTTTCAAAGCCAAGAAAATACAAGCAGGAAATTGGCTTCCATAGTCTGGGGAATTCAAGCAGTGTTTGCGAAAGATTATTCAAGCAGCCGTGTCTAACGTGTGCAGATGCAGAACTGAAACTAAAGCAGAAAGAACAAATGGCTGGAATGAAGTGGGTCCTGCCATTAGCCTGTGTGTGGGAACTATGATCTGAACCCCCACTGCAATGACAGCCCTTGTTGGCACTCTTTTTGAGAGAAAGGTAGAAAACGAACTTACACAGATGGACTAACTGGTTTCTATGGAGAAAATAATTTAACACACTGGAACTATAAAATTTCTATGCTACACCTGCTCAGATATGTTTTAATTACATATCTTTAATAGTAAACTTTAAAATCTTTGTGCATCCATACAAATACATAACATTTCTATATATATATATTGTCAATCTGCCTTCTTAGCTTTGTTTTATGAAGAAGAGCCAGTTCCTTTAAATTAGAAAACAAAACAAGACAAAAATCACTCTAAACGAATGTTTTAATTAGAATTTGCCAGAAATTAGTATAAATCTTCATGTTTATCCAGTACTTACACATACATTATTTAATGTTATCCCTCAAACTTCTATCTAGGTGCAAATAGCCCCATTTTTCAGATGAGGGGAAAAAAAAAAGAGATACTCTCTGATTCTCTTGCCTGGTATCTTACAATATGCTTTTTATTTTTATTTATTTATATGTTTTTGAGAGAGGGGGAGGGGCACAGAGAGAGAGAATCTTAAGCAGGCTCTCTGCATGGTGTGGATCCCAAAGTGGGACTCGATCTCATGACCCTGAGATCATGACCTAAGCAGAAATCAACCTTAACCAACTGAGCCACCCAGGCACCACTTGCCTAATATCTTACAATGAATTAATGCATTAGCCAACAGTTTAACTGACTGAAGGTTTTTAACTCAGCTGAAGGGATCAGTTTGAAAGAATGGCCCCTCAAAGTAAAAGTCAATAAGGACTTAACTGATAGATAGTATTTGTAGGGTCCATTTTCCCCAGTTATCAAGTGATACCATTATATGAGAGAAAAGATCACATACATATAATTTATTTTTGAGTGCAACCTTCTGAAACAAAGCAATCTCTTATGAATGTTGCACAATGGATTGCTTTGTCATTAAGTTCATATGGACTTGTAGAGGGGTTCTATTCACACCAGCACGGCCAAAAGATTTCAACCCATCCTCTGAAGAATAAGGAAGGAAAGAGATTAGTGTTTGTTGATGGTGCACTCTGTGGCACTGTGCAAAATGTTTTCTCCTATATCATTTCATTTATAGTCACAACTACCATGAAAAACAGATACATATTTTCACTAGTGAAGACTCTAAGGATCTGAGTAATTAACTAACTTATCAAAGGTGACATAGCTAGTTAGAAGTGCTCCTGTGATTCAAACTCAGATTAGACTCATCCCGAAGTCCTTATCTTTCTAACTCTCCTACATGGGCTCTCAAGATATAAAAGCTACAAGGGGATATGGTACTTGTCCATGAAAGTATGGTTAGTGTAGCTATAGATCTGTTTAAGAATCTTTAAAGGGGTATACTTAAGATGAATAAAAAGTATTTTACATAAAATATGCAGTAAATTAGCAGAATGTCTAACTCCAAGAGATGGTTTAGATTTAAATTTTGAAAGTTTAAAAATTAATATATTATAATTAATGAAAGATATTAAGACAAATATGGTATCATTGTGACTAACTTTATGACATTGACTTCAGAGAGAACAATTATGCCTTCTTATTAATGTCCTTTGGTGCTTTTGTCAAAACATAATCTTAAACTAGATGAAGCATGGGTCTGAGCCTATGTAATAAATTTCATGTTATCACTTCTAAATACAGCTATTATTAAGAGGAAGAATTGATTATCTTGACCAAATAATTGGTACTTGATATGTGAATTTTATGCAATTAATTCTCAATCATCTGATAATTACAATAGTAGATAGTAAAAATGGCAGCTAATTTAAAACCCCATTTTTATAGCATTGGAAAGTATTCTTTTTTTTGAGAAAGCGAGAGAGAGAGTGCACATGAGAGAGCATGAGAGAGTGCAGTGGTGAGGGGCAGAGGGAAAGGGAAAGAGAGAACCTCAAGGCGACTCCCCACTGAGCAAGAAACCTGAAGTGGAGCTCAAAGGAGGGCTCCATCTCACAACCCTGAGATCATAACCTGAGCGGAAATCAAGAGTTGGAGGCTTAACCGACTGAGCCACCCAGGCGCCCTGCTTTGGAAAGCATTCTTAAGCTCACATTTGAATATACTTGTGCATTATATTCCCAGAATTTACTAGGTTTAAAGGAAAATAAACTACACAGTCATGACCCATGCAAGAAAGGAAAAGCTACTATACTTTCCAGTATTATTCTCTCTGCATACCCTCCCCAAATATCCCTTTCTCCCTGGTTCAAAATAAGCATAGACAGCTTAGTCTAATTCACAGTGCCCAATGAGTGAAGAAGCCACTTCCTTCAGAAAATTTACTATGTATTTACAGCAGCTCTGAGTCAAAATAGGGAAAGAAAATAAATGTTTTACTCTACCACACAGAAACCACTGAACGCTGCCATGTGAAGTAAATAGAAACAGAAAATACAAGTAATGTCAACAAAGAAATCACTTTATATAAACAGAGAAGATACCACAGAGAATTGAGGAAAAAAAAGATTCATCATGAATAATCCATAATGTAAACTGACCAGCAGTATATAATTAAGAGTTAACATATTTTCATGGCTGTTTCTTTTGTTGTTGTTTTTACTTTTCGTTACATTTTTCTTTAAAAAAGAAGCGCTAAGAATTATTTTAAAAAATACACAGAACTTCTCTTTACTGTTCTGAATGAGGAGTAAGCATGCTATTGGTTTATTATTGGTTCTGGTAGACTAGTAGGGTCGTTTTGTTTTTGGAAGCAGAGTGCCCAGTTTCTGTCCTTAATAAAGGAGCACAGTTAGGATAAGCACCAGAGAGATTAAGCCACCTGCACAAGACCGCTCCTTCAGTTCCTGAGGCAAGGAGTTCTTAAATAAGTGTATTGTTCTGTGCAGTCCTTCTCTATAGTTAAATAAATTCAACTTCAATTTTCTGTCATTCAGCATGACATTGGATTATGAGGCAAAAGGCCCTAACTGCCTACAAAAAGAAAGGAAGCATTGGCTTTAAACACCATGCAGATGTAAGGCGGAACCCATGGAAACAATCCAAAATTTACAACAGCAAATTCTACTATGATGTGACTGCGTTCTTTACAGATATTAAATAAGAAGCAAATGATTTTAAATGAACAAGACAAAAAAGAGCTCTTAGCCTCTCTTCATACGAAGCCAGCTGCTTGCTGGATAGCATTACACAGGCATCAGATTTGGTGTAATTAGTCATTTAAGAGAATGCTGCTATTCCAAAAGGTTTCTACAAACTACAAATACAAAAGGTATTCATAGTTAGCTATTTTACAGAAGGATAAAAAAACATTACAGTCACTTGGAGAGTATATATAGTATAATGTTTGAGAAAACAATAAATAGAACCTTTATAGTGAAAAGATATTTCAAGCTTAAAGCTTTCTGGATAAACACACATACACACACACACACACACAATCTGGTTCAAAGTGGAGGAAACTGATTGTAGGTTCAAGAAGCAGAATGAAAGAACAACCAAGCAGAATTGGCCCCCAGAGATCCCAAACAGGGGAATTTTTTTAAAATGAGAAACTGAAGGCTCTATACTTTTTTAAATGGTTGAGGAAGAGGAAAAACAGAAGTTCACCATTTTTAACACACTCCTATGACAGGGTAATATAAAGGTGTAGTGCATGATCTCTAAAGCCAGACTGCCTATTTTCAAATCCTGGCTCTGCTTCTATGAGCTGTGTGACTTTAGGTGCTTTAGTTTCCTTATCTATAAAATGCTGACTACAGCATAGGATTGAGAATTAAGAGATTTAATATATATAAAGAGAACAGTGGCAGGCACAGAGTGAGTACTCCCTGCTAGCTCTTATCATTGGTGGCAACTAGTGAGGCCACCTGGCTCCCACACTCACTTCTTCTCTGAATCTCATCACTTTTCACCTTGAGGACTTTGTTCTTGCAGTCAGTCCAGGTGTCACCAGTGGTTATCCTTGTATGGGGGCAAGGGTAAAAATGAAGGGTTTATTGTATATTTTCCTTTAACAATATACAGAGTAACAATGGCCATGTTAAAACTTGTTAAATATGGGTGATGGCTTCACCCACATTTGTTATATTATTCTCTTTATTTTTGTGTTTGACATATTTTATAGAAATATGGAGAGTGGTCTTTCTTGTACAGTCAAGGATGAGAGCATGCTCTGTACTAAGGTGTCTAATCAACTCAGTTCTGTGTGTTCAAGGTACAAAAGAAAACAGGGTTAGAGACCTTGATGTGGAAGTGGGGGATGAGGTTGAAACTTTAAAGACAATGCATTTGATTCTGTGAATAGCTAGCTAGAGGGGTA